TAAAGTAATTGACTGCTTGGGACAAGATGAAGAAGTACTTAAAAAAATTGTTCAGATGGAGGAGCTGGATGAACAAAGAATTGGAGTTTGGGCTGATGAGGCAGCTTAATTAGTTCCCATTGGGTGAGTTTGAAAAGCATTAGACTTGTTGTTATGAAGTGGTTAAGCTGGAATATCAGAGGCTTTGGTAGGCCTGAGAAGATGAGAAAAATTAGGAAGCTCTTGTTAGATAGGAAAATTGAGTTAGCTCTATTTCAAGAAACAAAAAAAGAAGGCCTTTCAAGTGTGGATGTTAAAAGAGTGTGGCTTAGAGATAAAATGGAGTACATGGCTGTTGATGTTGAAGGTCGAGCAGGGGGGTTGCTTTGCATTTGGGATCCTGAGGTGTTTCAGCTCTCAAATTGTTACAGTAATAGAAGCTTCATTTTTGCTTGTAGGTGTTGTTCTCTCCTCTTTTGAATGTGTTATTATCAATGTGTATGCTCCTGATGATACTGTGAGGAGAGGGAGATTATGGGAAAGTCCAATAAACTTGAAAGCATCTTTCCCTACGCCTTGGTGTGTAGGTGGTGATTTTAATGAAATTAGAAGTTTGGGTGATAGAGTGGGTTGTTCAAGAAGAGATAGGGGTATGAAAGACTTCAATAATTTCATAGATAGATGTGAGTTGACTGAGACACAAATGACGGATAGGAAATTCACTTGGTGCAATGCAATGGATGGAAACAAATGGAGTAAAATTGATAGATTCCTACTTAGTCCTGAGTGGTTAGAAAGATTCAAGCTCAAACTTTGGGGACTACCTAGACTTATCTTTGATCATTGCCCTTTAGTGCTTTTGGAGGATGATAGGGACTGGGGACCCAAACCCTTTAAGTTCATAAATGTGTGGCTACTACATCTTCATTTTGCATCGTTTCTGGTGAAAGTTTGGCAAGAGACACAAATAAATGGCAGAGCAGGTTTCATATTGCATAGGAAATTACATGCATTGAAGTTAGCATTGAAGAAATGGAGTGAAGAGGTGTTTGGTAATGCCTCAGAAAAAATTAAAGAAGCTGAGAGTCAGCTGCATTCTTTGGATCTATTAGCTGAAGATAGACCCCTGTTGGAAACAGAGTTGAAGTTAAAAAGAGAGGTAAGAAGTGAAATGTAGAGGCACAGCAGAATATTGGAATGGGAATGGCTGCAAAAGTCAAGATTGGAGTGGACCTTAAAAGGGGACAGGAACACAATGTTTTTTTCATGCGATGGCCAGCAGTAGGCAAAATAGGAACGCATTAAATTCTATTTTAGTTCAAGAGAGGGTGGTTAAGGATCCAGAACAAGTGAAACAAGAAGTATGGGCTCATTTTAATAGACATTTTTCAGAGGAACGGAGGACCAGACCTGTTTTAATTGGTGACTTCAAGAGTGTCAGTTGTAGTGCTGGTTTCCAACAGTTGGAAGCAGAATTCTCGGAGGAAGAGATATGGGCTGCAGTAAAAGAATGTAATGGGAACAAAGCGCCAGGTCCAGACGGCTTCAACTTCATGTGTTTTCAAAAGAACTGGAAGGTGTTTAACGAAGAGGTGATGCTTTTCATGAAGGAGTTTTACAGTGTGGGTAGTTTAGCTTTGGGGATGAATAGCTTTTTCATCACATTAATTCCTAAGAAGGTCAATGCTCTCAATCTAAATGAATATAGACCAATAAGTTTGATTAGGTCAATGTACAAGCTGTTGTCTAAGGTTCTTGCAAGTAGACTAAAAACAGTTTTGCCAGAAGTAATTAGTGAAACTTAATCAGCATTTTTGGGTGGAAGGAATATCTTGGATGGGGTTTTGATTGCGAATGAAATTGTGGATGGGTGGAAGAAAGCCAAGAAGAAGGGACTCACTACGCCCAAACAGGGCATTAACGGCGGTAACGAAAACCGTTGTTAAAGGTATCATTAACGGCGGTTTTGTTACCGCCATTAAAAAAACCGCCGTTAATGCCCACTTTTAACGGTGGTAAAAAAACCGCCGCTAATGCCCAATCATTACCGCCGTTAATGATGGCGGTCTTTGCCGGCGAAACTCCGGCGTGCTCCAGCGAAACTCCGGCGAGCTCCGACGAAACCATCTACAATAAAGTAAAAGTAATGTTTAAATATTTATTTAGGGAATATATTTCATGAAGAGTGACTATGGTAGAGTGGTTAGTGTGGGTGGATGAGAGGTTGAGGGTTCAAGACTTGGGGAGTGCAAGAAGAAAGAATTATTTTTTGAAAAATTTGAACCTATTTACGGCGGTAAAAAATCGCCGTTTTTGGTCAACTTTTTACGACGGTTGTATTTTTTCCGACACAAGCATAAACGGCGGTAAAAAAACCGCCGTTAAAACCGGCAGAATCTGTTGAACATGTTCTAATTACTTGCCATCAGGTTTGGAAGGTTTGGACTGGCTTATTGCAGTGGTAGGGTATAACATGGGCTGTACTTGGGTCTGTTGGCTGCTTACTGCATTGGTGGGTTGGGAATTGCCTCATGAAAGCTAAAAGAAGGATATGGAAAGCTATCCCTTTGGTTGCTCTCTGGTCCATTTGGAAACATCCGAATGATTGTTTGTTCAATAATGTTCAGCCAGATATGGAGGAGTTGCAAGAGTCGATTATTATTAGACTAGCTATTTCTTCCGATCTCACTTATAAGGATTGTCAATTTACTATTAACGTGTATCTCAACTGTTAGAATTTCAATACTCGCGAATGGGTCACCAACTAAAGAGTTTAGCCCTTAAAAAGGTCTCAGACAGGATGATCCATTATCACATTTTCTGTTTAATTTGGCAGCTGAAGGCCTTAATATTCTACTGCTTAGAGCTAGGGAGTTGGGATTGATTAAAGGGATTCATATTGGTGTCAATGGGGTGGTTGTTTCACATCTACAATTTGCTAATGATTCACTACTATTCTATGAAGCTGATGTGCAGGAGGTGAGGAATTTGAAAAGAATCTTACGATGTTTTGAAATGGTCTCAGGGCTTAAGATTAACTTCCATAAGAGTGTGGTTTGTGGGGTAGGAATTTCTGATAGTTGTCTCAAGGATTTTGCTATTTTGCTTAATTGTAAAACCCAGAGTATGCCACTAAAATTCCTTGGTTTACCATTGGGTGCTTCTCCAAGCAGAAAGAAGGTATGGAAACCTGTCATTGACAAAATCAAAATCAAACTTGATGGGTGGAAAAGGAGGCTTTTGTCCTTTGTTGGCAGACTGACACTAATTAAGTCATGCTGTCCAGTCTGCCTGTGTATTATCTATCACTCTTCAAGTTATTAGAAGGTGTTGCAAAGGAAATAGATCGATTACAAGTTGTGTTTTTGTGTGGGGGGGAAGGGCGCATAATTGAAAAGAAAGATCCATCTAGTGTAATGGAAAGAAGTGACAAAAAGCATTAGTCAAGAGAATCAGAGAGGTTAATGCTTGCCTATTAATGAAGTGGTGGTAGAGATTTGCCAATGAAGAGGAGGCACTATGGAAAAAAATGGTTTGCAATGAATATAAAAGGGTAAATTACACTAACACCCCATAAGATTTATGTTTATTACAGTTCACCTCTTCACAGTTAGGAAATTACACTGACCCCCTATTAATTTAATTTTATGTATGATGATCATTACAGTAATGGGGGAACTGCTATGAAACTTTAAACTTCAGGGGGCAATTTGTAATGAAACTTTAAACCTTAGGGAAGGGGATGTAATTTCCAAAAGGTACGGGGAGAGAACTGTAATAAACATAAATCTCATGGGGTGTCAATGTAATTTACCCAATATAAAATTGAAACAGGAGCATGGATTCCAAATCAAATAGTTGGCATAAGATGGTCTAAGGTATGTGGCGATATACTAGCATGTGTGTCAAAGCAAAGAAACACCCTCCTACAATTTTTTCTTGATAATCTTCATATTAAAGTGGGTAATGGGTGCAGAGTCAGATTTTGGCAGGACAAATGATGTGGTGACTGCTGTTTAAAAGAGGGTTTCCTAGACTTTATTATTTGCCTACTGTTAAGAATGGTTTCCTCAAGTTCTTTGCTAATAACAAAGGAACATCTAAGATGTGGGACCTCAGTTTAAGAAGGTCGTTGCTACAGTGGGAGGGTGAGGAGGCTTCCAGACTTACTGAACTGTTGAGAACAACACCTGCACTTTGTTCAGGTGAAAAAGATAAACCAAGGTGGCTCTCATGCCAAACAGGTCAGTCCTTTGTTGCATCTTTATATAGGCACTGTGAATTGGGTTTCGGTGTATTTGAGAGTTCTAGTAGATTGGTATGGATTAATTACCTCCCCCCCAAAGTTCAATTTTTTGGGTGGTTAGCTTGGAAACATAAACTGAAAACTTCTGTTTTCCTTCAAATAGTGGGAGTTCTAGGTGAGGGGGCATCCACTCTGTGTGTTTTTTGTAAATCTGAGGCAGAATTTGTTGAACATGTTCTAATTACTTGCTATCAGGTTTGGAAGGTCTAGACTGGCTTATTATAGTGGTGGGGAATAACATGGGCTGTACCTGGGTTTGTTGACTACTTACTACATTGGTAGGCTGGGAATTGCTTCATGAAAGCTAAAAAGAGGATATGGAAAGCTATCCCTTTGGTTGCTCTCTGGTCCATTTGGAAACATCCGAATGATTGTTTGTTCAATAATGTTCAGCCAGATATGGAGGAGTTGCAAGAGTCGATTATTATTAGACTAGCTATTTGGCTGAAAGCCACTTATAAGGATTGTCAATTTACTATTAACGACTTTATCTACAACATCTGACAGATTAGAGTTTGTTTAGGTGGCAGGGTTCCTTGCAATTTATAATGACATCCATGTCTCCTGGTGTGCAGCAGCAGGTGTTTATGGCCTTGCTCTGTATCTGTAGGTTTGTGGGATTAGAGCTTGTTTGCAGTTCTGTAGGTTTGTGGGATTGCAGCTATGGAGGTTTGGTTTCTGTTCTGTCTGTAGCTCTGTATGTGGGTCTGCTGATTTGGGTTAATCTTGGTGAAGTTTTGTATCAGTTATGGGGGTTCAATGATTTGGCTCAAGTCTGGTGGCATTGTGCTATGCTCTGGTTTGTTATCCTTCTCTGTGGAATAAGGCAGCTGTTGGTGTAAGGGAGGTTTGTGCTTATTTGGGCTTAACAATGGACTGAGTTTGTGCTGATCTGTTTTGTGTATTAGTGCTGATCTGTTTTGTTCTACTCTGATCTGTGTGATTATCTGGACTACAAAATGGAGTGTGCCTGCTATGGATGCTGTTGGAGTCTCAATGGCTTGGTTATGTTCTAGTCTCAATAGCTTCTATTCTGTGTTTTTGTTTTGCTTGTTCCCTCATTTGGTTGGTATCTCTCTAACCTAGTTGGGATAAATGAGGTTTGTGTTGTTGTGTTTTGCTCTTGTCTTCCCTCTTTGTTGATGCATACCAAGATGTATTTTGTTTTGTTATCATCAACAAAGAGTTTATTGCTGTTCAAAAAAAAAAAAAAAAAAAAAAAAAAAAAAAAAAAACCGAATAATCTTCAACTCTAAAGTAAGTAATAACTTGCTAAAGAAATCCAAAATCCAAAACTAAAGCCCATATACAAAACCCAATTCCTAAGTATCGGACAATCAACAAATACATACATGCATACAAAAATTTAAACACACACACACACACACAGAGTTAAACACACACATCTGAATCACTTCAAGAAACAGAGTGTCCAAGTTCTGAAGGGAGGGCTATTTTGGAAATTTGTGTGGGCTAATATGAGGGTATACACACATTTTTTTATTAAATAGGTAATTTAGAATGTGGGGTGTGTGGACTGAGATAAATACCTAAGAATCAAATTACTAAGTGTGTGGAGTGAGAAAGGATATACACAGAAATAATGTAGTGTGTGGAAATAGAAATTTCCCAATTTAACCTGGGTTGCCTAACTGAACCTATGTACACGAATATTTCCTTATTACCAATATATAAAATCATGTAATTATACATTATTCACTATTACTAAAATAATAGTGGTTACACAAAATGTATCGAAGTATGGGGTTGTTTGGGGTGTCCTAAATAAGTATATTTTTTGTCTTTTTGAACTAAAAAATTGAAGAAAAAAATATGGATGTTTGGGTTAATTTTTTGACTTTTTATAGACA